CAGAACGTCTTAATTCATTCTCCTTCCCTATCGGCTACTTTGACTATCGTTTTCGAAACTGACGTTTCTAAAAACTCAGTCAAAGTGGGGGCTTCTGTAGACACCTAAAAATGTCTCTCCAAAACCAAACCCGATGATGAACAACCTTTCACCGCTACTATTGGTCGGGTTCAGTATTTAATCCCGATAGTGCTTAAAAAATCGTATTTAATTAAATTCATATTTTTGAACAGTCCATGGATTGGTCTTGATGTTTGGTAAAAGCATAGTTTTTATTTCAGCCCAAACTTATTATTTAATTTTAGCCCAAACCCTTTTTTTATTTTTGGCCCAAACCTTTTGTTTATTTTTATTTAATTATTTTCTTGTTTTAGCCCAAATAATAATAAGTCAGAAAAAGCCCGAAATTATCAATCGGCACTTAAAATGCCGAGTGAAATTAGGGTTAAAAATGTATTTAGACCGAAAAGTGGGCTGGAAATTCCCGCGCCACAGTAGACAACCACCGTGTCACGGGAATCCTTCCTGTCTGACGATGGGATTTCCCGTGACACGAGAAGTCTGCCGTGACACAGGATGTTCCGTGTCTTTTCCGCGTAAACCCTTAACGCGTTTTCTTTCCCGTTTTCTGAAAATTTCCCGCGTCACACTAAAAATGTACCGTGTCACGGGAAAGTTTGCCGTCTGACGGTGGGACTTCCTGTGTCACGGTACAGTTTGCCGTGCCACGGGATGCTTTTTAGGTTTTTATCAGTTTTAGGGTTCCGTGTGCTCCCTCAGCACATTTTCCCTATAAATACCCCCTCATTTCTGATGTACGGGGCACCAATTAATTCTCTCGAATTTATTTTTCTCTCTTCTATGCTTTAACCTAAACACTAGCCTCCCCTTTTCACTTCAAAATTCCTTCTTCAAGTGCTCAAAGGAGCCATACTTTACTCGTGGTTCTGTCCTTAAGCCAAGCACTACAAGAAAATAACCTTTTCGTAGCGATTATTTTAACCTTTAGTATCGATTGTAATTGCAACAAAAAGCTTTCCCAACGAATGGTCATTCGATACAATATCTCCCGTTGCCTTAGCCTTTAGTAGTGGTTTTCAATATCGCTGGGGTTGGCCTCAATAATCGATACGAAAAACTACATCCAATCGTGGTGATTATTGTAGTGATTACAATCACTATAAATGTTCAACTCATTTTCTTAAAAAAAAAAGAACATGCGTATGATCTTTACAAGATTCGAACATGCAACCTCAAACTCTTATATTAAATGTTTCACCAATAAGCTATGAGATATTTTATGGATTCTTTGTCAAACAATATTTATATATCTAGTGTTGAAAAGGCTTTTCGTATCGATTTATAAATAGTGTGGATATGTATTATTATGCTACGATTGTAAATGATACGATTTCTCAAAATTATATAAATGTGTAAAAATAGTGTGGATATGTATCATTATGCTTTCCGTATCGATTTAATATGGGAAAACCATGCCGATTGTAAAAATGATACGACATCCTTAATTATTTCATAAACATACTTGCATATTGTAGCGAATGAACAATCGCTACGAAATAATCACTACGAAAAGTGATTTTTCTTGTAGTGAAGGCGTGAAAGGTAGACTGTTTGAGGGTTTGGCCCCAAATTAACTCTACTTTATTTAATTTAATTTAATCATTGTTTTGTTATTTCCTTGAAGTTACTAACTCGTTTATTATTCTGTCGTTGCAAACAAACAGAATCAAAGTAAGAATCATGTTCCTTTTATTTCTATTATTTTTCTAACGATGTTATTTTGTTGGAATTGTGATTAAATTGCTTCCAATATTAATGTTTATTCTATTATATTTATTGATCACCATATTGCATGTTTAGAGGGAATATGTAATTGAAAATCACGCCTAATAAGATAATTTGGACAACCGGTTTAGGATCCTTTTAAATCTTGTTAATTAATTCAAGTGATCACCAATATTTTAGAATTATGTGTGCATTAATATTCAACCAATTTAGTTGAATAATAGTTTGGAGCGAATTGAATATTTTGTTTGTATGCCTTTGAGATCACAGGAATGCTTTTCAATATAAGAATCGAGTAGAGGCCAATACGGGCGAATGTGACTCCATGACTCACTTCGTACCATCATCCCCGATCCTCCTTTCGTGGTTCCGAACCATATGGAGTTAGTAATTTCATGGATTAGGAATGGGGTGTAACCTTCACGGGTCAATCGTTGTTGCCTATCGTTGTCCCTTTTCGTGGTTGCCTTATAATGATCCGTGAACGGTTTACAAGTTCCTTAAAAACTTGTTGGCGGCTCCCTACTTTCCTTGTCCCTAATCGTATACGTCAATTCCCACTTCCTAAGAGTGCCAAGCATATTCACCACATGCTTTAACGTAGGCGCACTTCGAGCGACGCCTACACTACCATGATATTATATGATAAAAAGAAATAGGAGGCATCCTAAACATGATACTAGAAACGTACATGATATTAGAAATATTGGTTATTACCCTAAACATGATACTAGGATTCATAAAGACATCCTAACATGACACAGGAATTAATGAAATAATCTAAGCATGCTTTTTATAGAAAAAGAATAATTAAATTACTTACTTCGATGTCTCGTATCTCTTTCTAATGACAAAATACACGCGTTAGTAACTTCAAGGAAAATATTAAATCAAATAATTAATTTAAATAATTGAAATAGAGATTTGGGACCAAGCCCTCAAAAATTATCAACATTTCACGTCGTCTAGGGTGAAGATAACTTTGAACTTGGCTAGGTGTTGTGAATGTGGAATTTTGTATTTGGGGAAGGTTTGGAAAAAGAGAGGGAGAATACGCTTTTAGCTTGAGAGAATTAAGGATGGTTGAATCTTGATGATTTTGAGGTTGTTGATGAATGAAAAACGGGGAAATACGACCCAATTTATAAGAAAATAGTTCAGAAACGATCGAAAAGAATTAGAATTTGAATCGGAATAAAATTGACCCCTGTCGCCAGCGACAAAGCCCACCGCAAAACAACAAGCATCACGCATGGGGACACACTCTGTCGTTTGGTGATAGCTTTGTCGTTTGGCGCTGATTAAAAGATAAAATGCTCTTCTGTACGGAATCCTCTTCTAATAAAATTAATCAATAAACTGCGCTTTTATCAATTTAAAATAAGATTTTATCGTAATAAAACACTTGTTTTATTTCAAACCAAACTCATTATTTTTCTAAAAAGATAATTATCGATCCTAACACTATTAGAACTCACAATAACCTTCTAGACTATTCCAGAAAATTAGAATCAATCCTAATAATTTTAGGAATAATAATTAATTGGACCTCCACTAGATCATTAGGCCATAAAACCATTTCAGACCCAATTTAGTATTTTGGTCATAATTCCTCATTATTCATCGGATTTGGGCTTACAATATATCATTAGATTTACGAGCTCAACCCAACTATACTATCATTGGACCCTTATCATGGACCAAGCTAAATTGGACCAACTATATTCATAAATAGAGTAGATTTTCGAAAACAGAAAGAAAGATTTTTATTTAAATAACCGCATCACAAGACTTTTCACACTTTCACCTCTTTCGATAATCAAACGACGTGAAAAGTATTCATCACTGGGTTTAGTTTTTAGGGAGACACATATGGGTGTCTATAGGTGGTAATGGGGGGCTGGGAGTGGTAGCAAGGGACTCTGACGGATGCATATTATGGGTAGCTGTTAAGAAGATTCCTGCAAACATGGATGAGGAATGTGCAAAAGCTGCTGCAGTTCGTTATGAGTGTCAAATTGCTGCTAGACTTGGCCATTCTCGTGTTTGGGTCGAAAGTGATGTTGAGAAAGTTGTCAACAATGTTAGGAAGGAAATGAAAGGTTGTGCTCCTATTTGGCTAATTTATGATGATGTAGATTGTCTTGCAAAATCTTTTCATGTTTTTTGTATTTCTAATATAAGTAGAGCAGGAAATACGGTAGCCCATCTCATGGCTAGATGGGATACTCGTAACAGTAATGAGCTTATTTGTATTGGTAATGTTCCGCAAACTCTTGCCTGCGAACTTTGATTTGGAATAAAAATCCAACTAACGTATTCCCTCAAAAAAAAAATTACTTTAGTTTGTTGAAGATATTTTTTAACAAATTTAATTTTTTATCTATATAAACCACTAGTGGAAAAAACTTCATTTGTAACGGCTCATTTGTAATGGGGATAAGGAAAATCGTTACAAAAAGTATATTTGTAACGGGCAAAATATATGTCCGTTACGGAAAAAACTCATTTGTAACGGACAAATAAATGCCCGTTACGAATATTTTATAATTGTAACGGACAAATAAATGTTTGTTACGAATCGTGGATATTTGTAACGAACATATACAAAGTCCGCTACACCTAAATCAAGCAGCTAGGGTTTAAAACTACTCCGTATGATTATTTCGCAGCCGCTTTTCCTTCTCAAGCGCACACACACTCTCTCTCTCTCCTCTTCTCTTCTACCTCTCTCTAGGGGTGTCCGTTCGGTTTTCGATTTGGATTTAGTCCAAATCCGATCCAATCCGAACTATAATACGGTTTTCAATTTTCCGATCCGACCTGATCCGAATTTCTCTCCCAATCCAATCCGATCCAATCCGAATTAAAATTCGGTTATTTGGATCAGATCTATCCGAATTATAAGACATTATTTTTTAGCGCCTAATACGATTATAAAAATAAAACTATAATATAAATTAAAGTCGTCAAAATCATGATTAAAATATGTAGTTCAACATCAAGTCATTAGTTAATTAATACAAAGTCCCCCCTAATTTATATTATGTCATATCAAGTATTTGAGCTAAAGTTCAAAAAATAAAGAAATCCATATATATACAAGCTTAATTTTACAATTCGGTTTTCGGTTTGGATTGGATCTAATTAGGATCAATCCGATCCAATCCGAAAATCCGAATTTTAAAAAAATCTCAATCCGATCCAATCCGACTTAAAGTTCGGATTTGATCCGAATTGATAATTCGATCTGGATTGGATTTCGATTTTAATCCGAATTGTGGACACCCGTACCCCTCTCTCTCCTCCTCTTTCTGTCTTTCACCCTCTATCCTCCTCTTCTCTTCTTCCTCAAGATCGAGTTGGCCAGTCCTAGCAATGACGGCATTAGCGCTATGAGTTGATACAAATCCACCTTTCATCGTTTCCCCCTCTCGAAATGATCGATTTTCCTGTAGGTTAATGCTTTTTTCTTATTTTCTGTTTAAATTATTTCATGTTTTTTGAGTTTTTGTTTTGCTCAAATTTACAATTTCATGGTCTTCTAACCAGGGTTTTTTTTTTTTTTAATTCAATTTTTCTCCATAGAAAATGTGGCTTTCTCAATTACACGCAGCACTGCAAATTACTCAATTTTGACGACATTTAAATGTCAGTATTTCTTGAAATTATATAGATATGTGTTTCTTAGCTTTCGAATTACAGATGTTCATTTGAAAAGGTTAATGTTTTTTTTAAATTTATTTTATTTTGCTATCGTTGATGTTTGTCCTCAATTTTATACTTGTAATTTTATTTAGATTCATTGATTTTATAGATTATTGGGATGATTTGTGAGTAAATTGGGTAAAAATAATTGATTATTGATGGTCGATCAGGGTTCAAATTGGTCACTGAACTTCTTTAAATTCCCAGACCATAAGATTAAATAAGGATATATCCTTGTATTTTGTGGTGTTTTGATTTCATGGTACAATTACTTTGCTCTTAAAACAGACAACCATGTTAGTGCATGTTAATAGAGCTCACGAATTTAGTTGGTGAGTGGATTTATGTTATGAGATTTTTGCAAATAATTACTCACAGCCTTGTGTTGTGGTGGGAAATTGCCTATAGTTTAGCAACTAGGGTTTTACTCGATTGTTTGTTTAGAAAGTAATTTGATTAGAAATTCATAGACGAACTTGTTCTGATTGACATTGTTGCCACTGTTTGAGTTGGATTTCTAGTCTGAAAATTGCTGCAATATTTTCTATGTTCTTATTCGATTCGATTATAGTATGATACTAATGCTTTGCTCTTTCTTTGTCAAAAATGTTGCAAGAAATCGATTAAACAGCAAAGACGGCCATGAAAATTGACATCGAACGCGAAGGCAACACATATTTGATCACCATGGGGAAAGACAAAATCACGGCTACATGTCCAAAGAGACTCTATCCATGGTCAGAGCAATCGCAGTCGGAGGCGAAGGAGTGGGTCAGTAATGTTAAAAAGATTTATCGAAACAGGAACAAGAAGCAACCCCTTGTGGTTGGCCTCTACGCAGTTCGGAAATTCGACCATTCTGATGGTCAAGCAGAGTTATATCTTAAGCCTAAGCAGGTTAAATGTATGCAAATCCTTTCCCTATCCTTCAATTCTATGTTTTATGATGAATTTATACAATTTGCTGTTTAAAGTTTTTAACCATATAATAAGAATTATACCTTAACCAAATGTAGCATATTCTTAATATATGATAAGAACTTCATAAGTCCATAATAGGTATCTTCTATCTTGTATAGAAAGTATGTGAATAATGTGGATGTCAACGAGGTTGATTAAATTCTTAGGGTAATATATGAGTATATGATGTGTAATCATATGAACCACGAGTATATGAGGTCTTTTCTGACTAATTGTGGAATTGATTTATTGGAGTGTGTATTTTCTAGATGCTGGGTATTGTATTGTTCTTTGTAAAATTTGGACTGGTGTTCCAAAATGTTGCCTTCAAGTCTTCAGTGTTGTGTATTCAGAAAAGGAAAACTTTTGTATACACCCGGTTTTCAGTAATTTACTGTACATTGGGTACACTTTTGTCAGATTTAGTGTCACTTCCCTCTCATGATTAAATGTGAATGTATGCTCCATTGGTGATTCCCTCATGGCCGAACCCCAGTCTGTGGGTTGATCTCACATTACAATCTCCAACAGCCTTTAGAGGAAAACTAGTGTTTTTTTTTTTTTTTTAAACCAGGAAAACAAGTGTACTTGTGATTTGGTTTAGCTGTTCTTTTAAAGTTTTAGTTATTAATTTATTAATATTAATTGTATACTATATTTGTATAGAATATAAACATCTCTCATTAAATGATAAAATGGTGTGCAAGCAATCTAGCATTTTGCTAGTTTTTTTTTAATTGATTATACACTATTTGTAACAGGCAGATTTTATGCCTGTAACAAATAAGTAGGTATTTGTAACGGGTAAAACATGTCATGTTACGAATAACGGAGTTATTTGTAACGGGCACCTAAGAAGCCCGTTATGAATAATGGGTTACTTATAAAGGGCTTTTCAGGTGCCCATTACAAATAACAAAGGCCATCGATAACGGCTGCCGCCTGTTACGGATGGACATTTTTTGCTTATTACGAATGGTCTTTTTCCACTAGTGAACTAAATTATTAAAAGAACATAGGGAATAATTTAAATAACCCTGCTGACGTGGCATGGGATCTAACTTAGAATTTAATTAATTACCACCCATAAGAGTGATAAAATTGTACGGTTATTACTTTCAGTAATTTTTTAGCGAATTAGGCTTATTATGTCGTCACTTATTACCTTATTTATAACATTCTAGTCTCATCTTTGTGATCTATTAGTCAATGTATTAGTCCGAAAATTTAATTTATGATGTTACTTTTTAGTTAAATAAAAAATGTAATTTCTGTCATTTCAATCTATTTCTATTATAAAATGGAGGGAGTCTTTCCAAATATAATAGAGCTAAGAAACTACATCTATGATAGAGCCTGTTCTCATTGACTAAACTGAGCTGAAATGAACTAAACTTATTAGAGCTGAATTAAAGTGAAATGAAAAGAACTGAACTTATTAGAGTTGAACTAAACTAAATTCAATTGAGCTGAACTGAACTAAACTGAACTGAAAATAATCTGACAACAACAGAACCTAAGCCTACACCATAACAATTAGAAAGAACAATGTCAAGTAAAAAAAATTAAAAAATCCACTTAAAACATGCCACCCAAAATGAATTAGAGGGAGTTAAAACTTTATGTCAATTTCAATACCGGTAAACTTGAGAAGAGGAATCCTTTCAGTCTACCTTTTTTTTTTTTTTAATCGTCCTTTAGTTAAATGGTGAGATGGGCAAAAGTTATTACTACTGCAACAGCAACACCAATCAATAATAATATTGATGCTAAAAAATAAAAATACAAATATAAATAAAATAAATAAATACATAAATTAATAACAACAGATGAATGAAGGAGTTGATGAATGATGAGGTCAGTGAGTTGGGCCATAGGACAAAACATTACACTAAAATAATAATAGCAATACATAATTATATCCAAACACATGGTGTACCAGATAGAAAGAGAAACACTGGGGTGGCCTAACGATAGAAATTGTTAAAAAGAAAATTTTTTTTATTAAAGAAAATAAAAAAGCTTCACCAGAGAAGCACATGGTTGAAATGTAAAGGTAACCCATAAATAAAATAAAAAGTGACTCACTTTTCTCTTTCTTTTTTGGTCTCTTTTCTTACTTTTCTTCAATTTTAATCTTTACCAAATATATATATATATATATATATATATATATATATATATATATATATATAAGCATATAATTTTTAATTATATAAGTATTATCTACAAGTAAAAATAATTTGGTTAAAACAAGTTAGGAAGGATATGAAATATATGTATTTACATAAAAATTCAGGTATTTGATCATAAGGAATAGATGAGGAAGATTTTTATGGATGACTCTACGGAATAATCACTCTTAGTTTATGCATGTAGGCGACCTCACTTATGAGTTTAAGGCTTTGATTGATAGATATAAGTAAAATGTATAAGGTTGACATATTGAGTTGAGTCAGGAGTGTACAACATCATATAGAATATATTTTGCTTTTATATAAAAACAATATTAATATTTAAAAAAATTGCTGCATGATTTATGGAACAGAAAATATAAATCAAATTGAGTTTCCTATTAGCTTTCATGGAGGGACTCAACAACAATTTTATAATAGATATAATTTACAATAAACTATATATTGTCCAATCCTTGTATTATATTGATTTATTCTATGATCAATTTTGTTTTATAGAATGATTTCAAATGTTTAGAACAATACGAGGAAATGGAGGTAATATTTTTTTTTTTAAGATTGAAATGAAGGTAATATAGATATATGTACTTCCCTTGATGTGTACTTTATATTAATTACTTAAACATCTTAAATCTCGGTCTTATATATTATATTCATACGTCCATCATAAAAGTAATTGTAGTATGTTGAGATGACAAAACATAATATGTGAAATATTTTGGGGCATAATTGTACACATAAAAGTACAACAAATTTAATAATTTTTTTTTCATTTTTATGTTGTCATCATACATGCATCTATATTTTTTTTCTTTTTATTATACACTCACACACAAATTTTATCTAGGTATTCATATGGCCTCCGAAGTTATGAATATTATGAAAGAAAAGTACTCAGTAATATATTAATTTGTATTTTGAAAATGATAATAATCCAGAGTAAAAAAAAAAAAAAAAAAAAAAAACCGGAATCACACGTAGTTTTCCTAAAGACAAATGAATAAAAATGAAACAAACTCAAACCTACGTCTTGAGCATCACTGGTCTCTGCATAAATAGAAAGATAGACAGTGATCATATTCATTCATATATATCATCTCATCTCATGAATAAATGTCTCTGAAGTTCACTGATTCCCATGAAGAGAGAGAAAAATGGAAAAGAGTATAAATGTACTCGTATGAATTTCGGGGAGAGTTTGTTTGTGTCTGAGAGGCTTTGTATGGTACTGAGAGCGACGACTGAATCTGTCATTAAGCGTTACAACTGTTGGCACTGAAAAACATGGTGTCTGAATCTCTATCAGCATTTATATGGTAAAAGGACCATCTTTAAAAAAAATATATATATATTTAAAGAAATATATATGTCCAGTGATTAAAGTGCTTGTCTCTCTTTCTCAACATTCAAATCATTTCTCCGTATGTTTTTTAATTATATTTATTTTATTTTGATTTCTTTGCATCTTTTCTTTTCGTATAAAATGAGGTATAGTACTCACAATTTGATCAACAAAATGAAAATTATACAATCTTTTTAAGAAGTGTTTTGGGGTTTTAGATAACAATTTAAGGTCTATTAAAAAAAAATTAACAATTTAAAGTTATACTCCCTCCGTCCCCGATTGATAGTTACTTTTGCTAAAAAATCACGAGAATTAAGGAGAAATAAAGAAAGTACATTGAAAAAGTAAATTTATATTTGGTATGCAAAAAACTAGAGAGAGAACGTAATTAAAATACATGGGAAGTAAAATTTACATGGGAAAGTTAAATTTGCACAAATATTTTTGCAAATGTTAGAAAATTTTGGTAAAAAAATAATATTAATGGTACTACAAAAAAGCAAATGTGATTAACATTTTGAGTCATAAAAAATAGCAAAAGTGACTATCAATCGGGGACGGATGGAGTATTAACCTAAAATGTATGTAAAAATCACGTATTATTCGTATAGTTAATTTTTTTTTTTTAAGTATTAAATCTTTTGTCATCAGTCATCTTATTTTACAATCTCGAAAAATTTGTTAATTTTTGTCTTTAATAAATTTAAAATCTAAGATTAGTTATGTTTTTTTTTAAAAAAAAAACAAAAGTTCTTAATCAAATTTATCAAATGAAACAAAAAAAAAAAAAAAAAAAAAAAAAAAAAAAGGAACATCAAGTGTATTTTCGAGTTAGGCCATTCTTAAAACAATAATGTGTCCACCATAATATACTCCATAGCAATTAAGAAAAAAAAAATTGTGAGTACGGAATACATGATTGTAACGTTATTCAAACCAAGTTGGTCGGTCAAATTTAACAATTTAGTCCTTTATAAATAAGGGACAACATATATCTCAACCTCATTTTAGTGAGATTTTATGCAAAATCTTAGGATCTTATGAAATATCGATCCCTACTAATTAATACATCAAGTAGTACACATATAAACCATGAGAATTGTAAAATCTGATCTGTACAAGAATGAGATTTTAAAGTCAAATTAGAGAAATAAAAATACTAATAAATGTTTTGAGGAGGGGTCAGGTCATCTCAGTCCTTATCTGAGCCTCTGACCAACTTCACCCAACAAAGATTTCTGAATAGTCCAAGTAAGATTCCGGCTCTTTCTTAATTCTTGGATGATTTTCCAATTATTATCGCAAGTTAATATCACTTTATAAATTAATACCGCAAATTAAAAAAGTTGTGAATTAGTACCGTCAAAAATTTTAAAATATTGTGATTACTACCAAGTCCCCATTAAAACCCAATTATGACGTCATTATATCCCTTTAACCCGTGTTTGACCATGGTTAAGGGATTTTACCAGCCCCCCAAAAAGAAAATGGATTAGGGATATAATGACTTCATGTTAAGGGCTTTAACCATGGGTTAAAGTGATATAATGACGTCATAGTTGGGTTTAATGGGAGTTTGGTAGTAATCGCAACATCTTAAAATTTTTTGCGGTAGTAATTCACAACTTTTTTTATTTTGCAGTAGTAATTTACAAAGTAGTACTAACTTGCGGTAGTAATTGGCAAATTTTCCTTAATTCTTTTACCCTAGTGTTTTAATAAAAATATATATATGTTCCCTTAATACCTAAATAATCGCAACAATAGTAATAGGTTAAATGATTAATAAATGATTCTTTGAGAGTGAGGGATAGTTCAAGTGGTTAGAGCTTTCCTCCTGATTTCAGGAGATCGTGGGATCGATTCTCACCCCCGGCCT